TTGACCGGTTTTCCCGGACTCATTCGCGCTGATAACCACATTGCCATTGGCCTTTCATCTATTACGTGCGAAAAAAGCTTTCATATATTACTTATGAAAACGTTCTTTCGATATATTATTTCTCGTATGTATATTGTTTAGCGTTTAAACAAGTATGGCGAACATAAGATTATTTCCATTTAAAAAATGAACGGAAATAGAGAGATAAATAATATATAAACGCGAATAACGATATAGCGAGAGGCTTTGAGTCTAAAATTTTGCTGTAAACGGATAATCTTTTCTTGCTGCGCGGAGACGACGACAGCGTAGCAACGGCGGTGGCGGCGCCGGCAACGATGTAGTATCGATTAAAGCTCGCACCATACCTGCCATTGTGTGTGCTTAACCTTGACCTTGCGTCCCGGGCTTTCTTACGTATCGGTTCAGCTCAGGGCTTCGTATGGAAACTGGCAATTTTTTCGTGCCAACGATTATGCTCGCGTATCTATATTAAAATGCAGTAAGTATGCGTTGCGACGACAGTCCCAAATATTCGATTGAAGCAATGAATTCAATTCGAGATTCACATAATTTACGTCTCTTGATATAGCGATGCCGGATGATTTATTCGTAAAGTTTTATTAAAGCGTGGCTTCAATTTTCTTTTTCCTGGCCTACTTTATTTTTGCTCAGGCACTATATACTTGTACGATGATTTTTCTCTTCGTTTCTCTTTTCTATCTCTTCTTATATCATTTCCTATATTCTTTCAATCTTACGTACGTTCCGATTCTTTTTCTTTGTCGATATTCAACTTAATCGATTCTAGAAGCGTTCTATTCGCACGACTCACGTAATTTCATGCAAGCGGACTTACCTTGACATTATAAAATCATCTGATGCAATAGAAAGATATTTTTAAAAATCGAGATGTATTTGTCTAAAGCCGAGAAATCTAAATCCTGGTAAATTAATTTAATTTAACGATAGTGATTGGATTTAAACTAAAGAATCTTGTTTTTTTTTTCTTGATACCCACAATTAGCAACATTCCATTGGCCGTGCGAATAAAGTGTGTTTCGTGTTTCATAACAGTGAAATTATATTTTTACAATTAATGTTTCATAAAGACCTATTAATCATATTAAATAAAATAATAAAATTTTATTTTTGATATCTGTCGATTTTACGCGATGCCAGACGAGAGAAGGTGTAGGTATTTTATATGCAACTTTGTTCCGTGCGTATAGATTTAATAAGAACAAATAAACAATTATTCCAAGTTTTTATCACTTAATAATATTAATTAATTAGCGTATATTAACAGTTACTTTCACTTTTTCGCAATTTTACAAATTATTATTTTGCTCTGTAAATCGTACTTAACGGTTTATTCAGCGCAGTTGAAGTGCACTTTACGTAGACAGATGCAAAGTGAGTGCCATATATTTATCGAAATATTGTACGCATGATGAAAAGGACAGATCCGTTGGTTTACCCACTCTAATGGCAACGATAAGTGGATGTAATGAGATGCAATCGTGTAGCGATGTGTTTTCGATGCATTCGCGTGAACGCTATTATTGAATCCGTTTATATTCCGTCATTGGCTTGTCCGTGCTTTTTTTGTGTTCAAGAAACATCGGGATCAAGAAACATCCTGCATTGAAGTGTTAGACTCCCAGTATAACGCAGATAAAAATGCCTGTAAAATGATCTACTTGTTAGTCATTTAGATGTTAAATACGATTCAGTACACTTTTTTTATAATTCTCTTATGTTTAATTTTTCGAATTCTACAAGAGATTTATTTTCTTTCCTTTTAGGAATTATATTTTTAATGTACATGATACGTTCAATAAGTTTGTTTTCGTCTACGTATCTGAGCCATTATGATGGACGAGATACTACGTACTTTTAACAGTAATGACGTTTATGTAATAAATACTTATCTGCAAATTTACAATTTTTCCAGTTATATAGTAGCCAAGTTACAAAAAAAAATTATTTTACCTATATAATCAAAGACATCTTTCTAGCAATATACAGAGCAAAGATTTTAACGAACGAAAACTCGGTACGCGTGAGATAAATCTCTTATGTGAGTAACGAAATATCATTGTGTGTTTAGGAGATAAATTCCGTCTTGTGCTGTCGACGACGTTACGTGAAGATGGATATCCAGATGGTAACGAATGGAATCCTATGGAACAGGAGGGAGGTTCCAGAGCGGACAGCTTTGAGTACGTCATGTCCGGCAAGGTGTATCGAATTGAAGGTGACGAAGCCAACAATGAACCCAGCAGCAGACTGTAAGTAGCCGTTGTTTTATTCTTCATATCAAGTGTGTAAGATCGATCTGGAAAATTAGTTTTTCGTCCCATGGAAAAATTTAATTTATTGTATTAGGCAAGTCCAATTAGTAACATAAAAAAAATTAACAAATATATATTTTATGATCAATTATGAATAGAAAATTAAAATCAAAGGACGAATCTTTTTTAGATTGATCTTACCAGTGAAATACATATATCTTATTAGCAATTAAGATTTGTTTGCACTCTTTACGATCTTTGGTATTGCCATTATGATTTTACCTTGAAATCTTGTATCATTGTTTATAAAGTGTGCGTATGGTACGCAACGATAGTTACATGAGAACATGAGAATAGATAAGCGAAAGAACTTGTTACAGTAATCACATTTTGATAGCAGGGCGATATAACCTATAAGTTTTATACGGAATGACCGAAAATTATTACGCTTAATTCTCATTTAAATAGTACAAAATACTTGATCTTTATTTAAACAATATCTTCATTATTAATTGTATCTCATTAGATTATCTTGTTTTGGAATAATTTTCCATTACACATTTCAAGGTAAAAATAAATTTATACAAATTCTTGTTACATATAAAAATATCTAAAGATCTTGTAGTGCAAACGAATCTATACACTTCTTTTGCAATATCCGAGCAGAATCTTGTAAGAAATCTCATTGCGTGAATTGATCTGACGGTATCCTTCGAAAATATCTTGATACGAATCTTTATAAGGAGCGACATTGTCAATTACGAGAATTTATCACTGTTTTTAGTTTTTTTTTAATTATATCTATGCATGTTCTGCATTAATTTGATTCCGCTCGGATACACCGTACGCTGGCCTGTATCGGGCCTATCGGGGATACACGTTACGATACATGACGTCGTTCGAACGACACATTGATGTGTGACAAACATTCTGCTGTGCGATCTCTTATTGGCTCGTTTCCAAGCGCTCTCAATGAAGCCGCGTGAGCTTCCGAAAACAACTTTCTACGCCGCTTGTAGAGAAATTGGCTCTCTGTTGTCGTTGATTAGCGTTCTAAACAAGGTTTCTCGATTCGCTCGAGGAGCGATACTATCATCGTTTAACCATGCTTATGTAATTTGTGAATGGTAGAAAGGAATATTAAGCAACGCAAAGTGTTGCAAACAATTTTTTGAGATTGATAAAAATGTACGAACAAAATTATGTGCTAAATAAATTAAATAAACGCAGTATGCTATCGACACTTAACTTATTTAAATAAATGTCATGCAAATAAGTTTTTGTGCAAAGTTATGTATATTTAAAGAAGTATTACGGTTAATATAGTAATTGAATGGCAATAAAGTTAAGGTTGTTGTATGAATTACGTGATACGCAATTGCCCGAACCTTGGCACGATTGGCTGAGCACGCCGAAATAGTGCGTCATCGGGTGGGCCATTTTTAGCTTCGTCATTCATGAACTATGGACTCGCTATTTTTTCAAACGCAGTTTTTTAGCTATTTGTATATTATTGCCAAAAAATGAGTACGGCAAGTAGATGTACATTTATAAAAATTAGGATGGGAATAAGCTCTATTATACATAGACATAAAATTTTAATCGTCAGATATACCTAATAATAACATTATATTTGTAACAGGATTGGTAAAAATCATGTTTTAAACATGTTTTAAACTGTTTAAAATATGCTTAATTGATATTTTTTAACATGTTTTACAACATGTTTTTTGTTAATACTAATGTTTAAAGCATGTATGAAGCATTAAAAACATGTTTAAAAAAAAACAATATTTTGTTTTTTAAGAAAAAAATATTTTTTGCCAACCCCCTGTTTTGTATTAGAAATAATGCTTATGAATTCTTCGACAAGGATTTATAATGAAGAATAAAATTTCAAATTTTATTAATCTGCCGAACAAGTGTTATGGAGAATTTTATGAAAGTTGTGAAATTTCTGCAATTTAAAATTGCTTTCCAATTGGACGGAAAACCGAAGGTTGCACGCGAGTGTTAGGCTTTCCATTTAAACGTGCTGAACGAAATGCGGAATTGCGCGATAACCCCGCGGTTTGACCGACTTATCGCATTGACCTTGGGACGTGGCCGCGACGTCGGTCGCATCGGTTGCGTCGCCGTTGATTTCGCCGCAGGTTGTACCACTACTGCGCGCAAAACATGCCGCGCTCTGTTGACGCTATTAAAGATAGAACGCAGCGTTGTAGACGGCACGATAAGAAGAGAAAGATAATGACGCTTTAAACATTCGAGTCTGTTAAGTGCTTTAAATCGGCCGTGCAAGTGCGGTACTATTTATCGAATGCGACGTCATTTCATAGCGCTTCTTCATAATACTTAGAGATTAACGTTTAATTTTTAATTAGCTTGTTCTTCCATGCGTCGTCAGTCTTCGTCTCAATTGAAGCATAATGTAATCTCAGCTGTATGTTATGTAATTTATAAATGTAATTAATTAACAAAATATAAATCATATACATTATATTCTGACAAGTGTGAGGTACAATCACGATTAATAAGTTTATATGTCTATCAGAGTATCTCGAATATCTAAAATTTACAACTGAAAGAATCATTGGACTTTCTGGTATCAGATACGAAAGATTTAAATGATTATACGTCTATTTTTTGTTTTTGTTAATATTTTTTGTCTGCCTTCTTTATATATATAGTGTTTTATAATCTGTTACATGATGTACGTAAGTTAATAATTCAAAAGATGAATCTTAAATTAATTTATTTTATTGTGCGATATAAGAAAAAAAAAACGTGTACATATTTAAGCCGCTAAATGTATTAGAGGATCAAGATTTATATTTCTCGGTTACTCTTCCATAACTTGTATATCGATATTGACTCAAGGTTATTAAGTGGAACACGCCATGTGTAATTAGACAAGCCTACACTATATGCTTATTAATGATACATGATAATTGTTTTTGTAGTATCTTAGTTATTTTTTTCTTACTATTTTTTTGAATGATATTTTCCGGTATTTTTTTGGAGATTTAATAATTGTAACAGTGTCAATTAGCTGTCTGTTTAGTCATTATATTAATTTTTTGTGAAAAATTCAAGTATCGCATCCACGTGTTAAAAAAACTTAAATATAAGTTTATTGTATACTCTGTTATTTTTTTCCTATGTATGTTTTCTATAGTAAATACAATTAAAAAACAAGAGTACAAATTGTAAGAAAGCATCTCGTGAATATTATTTATAAGAAAGTATGGAATAGTAAGTAGAGTTGTTTTTATTCAAGTAATAGGGTATTTCATAATTTCCACTCTTCTGGTCATAATATAATCATGTAGTCGAAATATGATACGGGAGGATATTGAGCTCGATCGATAAGAAGACATCACGTGGCGTGTTTGGCAGAAACAATGCAATTCCACGTTGAGATAAGCGAACATTTTCAACAAGGCGATTTTCTTCGTGATGTGGCGTGACGATTATACGCCATTATCCGGTCGGTAAGAGAGTGCGCACGTACAAGAGAGATCAGCGGAACGAGCTTTCGGAGGACAGGGAGCCACTCTGCGTTCACTCGGTAGGTAATGAAGCGGGTGAACACAGCTGGTGGTATCTCAGTTTTCTGGGGGCATTGGCAACCCGGCTGGCAAAAGTCGAAAAGTCGAGAATAATCATCGAGAAAGACGGCCGAAAACGGCAAATAGATAGACGAATTTAAATCGGAAGTCTCGCTGTAGCGAACAATTGCAAAGTTCTCTTATGATCGCGATGACTTCCTTCCCGGTTCTCCCACAGAGAAGATCTTGAGCGACACGAAATCAATTTGTACTTGTCAAATTAAGATGCAGCATTGCATTTCACCTATATAGAGAGAGAGAGAGAGAGAGAGAGAGGGGAGAGAGAGAGAGAGAGAGAGAGATTAATGGATTAAGACTTATTTTTCGTTATCTGTACTTCGTGTCAGATTTTTAATTTTATTTATAACTTTGTGTCTTTATTTTTTTTAAATACGTATTTTGAGTAACGATAAAGTATCTTTCATATTATATTACACATAAAATTATAAAAAAAATTCTATTCCCCCTCGAATCTGACACGAATCATGGATAATTCAAAGTTTGCTTTAAGTGTTTGTCACCTAAATTGAAGATGGGTACAAAAGTCTTGATCCTTTTTCAAGAGATGGCGTATCTGCTGATTTGCAGTTGCGAGATATGTTTATGTATTAAATAGAATTGGAAAAGTGTATGTAACGACGTTAGCTCTTCTGTAATGTGAATCGATTTAATTTAATTGTATTTTCATAATGATAGAACGAATAAAAATGAGCGTAAAAAAGTAAACATCGTCCATCATACTATACAAGATGCTGTACAAGAGTAAACATCTATCTTGCTGTATCAAAGAGATTCAAACATTTGCAGCTATTGTGAAAATATTTCGACGTGATTATTTCGATTTGGACGAGATTAAATGATACGGTCTTGTACTATAATTATATAGTTTAACTTTTGTTAATATTGCGTTTGTTCGAACGTTTGTTCCTTCGTTTGCGAGGGGCGTGACAGCTGGGAAACGAATTATTGATCGGGGTAGCTCGAGACCCCGGAATGAATATAGCTGATACCCCGGCAACATTGGCAACGCGCAGGCACACACATCCTGTCGTCGCGACGTGATCCACTCTAAAAAAAATTTGAAATCCAAAATTATCGTTATCCAATTATTATATTTATTATATTTCGGGTTGTGGTACTTTTAATATTACATATATTTGTACTTTATTTTCGTTGTAAGTTGCTGATATTTCTTGTAAAAAAATTAGAGTTCCATGATATCTCATTTACAAATATATTATATTAACATTCCTGTTAATACAATTTTTTAAATACGATAAAATCCAATATACTTACATGAATAGTACAAACGTTTCATTAGTTTTAAAAGTATTCTGTCGGGTATTTTTTTTGTCGGAATTAAAATGTGAATTCTCTTCGCTTTTA